TCAAAATGTATTATTTTAGTTTATGTCGACATTATGTATAATACTTTGGTATTTAACTTAAATTTTGTCATATAACTTAACCTCTCCATGTTTTGTTGAGCTATTATATTGGATCAACTTTGATTAATCTATGCCAATAGAATGAATTTTCATATGAACTTTATATATTATATGTAAAAAAAATGTACAGTTTTAACTTTACAGTAAAGTTTAAACATAGTAAAAGCAGGCTAAAACCCAAATAAGGTTACAACAAAAATATATTTTTTTCAAATCACTTTAGAAAATAAAATTTAATTTAATCATAATCATAAAACTTATTAAAAAGAAAAACGTTTGTGTCACTAAAAGTTACATAGATAAAAGTGGGTTATAATGCAATTTTTCATTCCATTCTATGATGCTCACCTATGTGTATTGCCATGATCATTGTAACCCCCACGAGCCGAATCCCAATCTGCAAAAGCAGAAAAATGCTGATAAACTTTAAAAAAGACAAAATTATCTAAACGTATTGCATGCTGAATTCCGTACAATATGAACATGTGGGTAGTGAGTACACATTTTCACAATCAACAGCTCCATAAAAAATAAGAACAAGATGGAATTTCATTATTATATTTATTTAAAGTTAGCTTATTTACATACCCATTATAGCGATAACTAACATACTAACAGCAAAACATCAAGCTTGGTTATATTTTAATAATTCTGATAGGAGCTAATGAACAAAATTGGTGCTTACCAGATGGACCACCTTGGTATCCACCAGATGAGCGCCCACCATACCTACCACGGGGCCTATCATCAGGATAGCCAGGCCTGCCGCCCATATCACGCTCATAGCCACCAGGGTAATCATACCCAAACCTGTATCAACAATAAACAATATTGTGTGAACCAAACAAAGATTTTCAAGCAATTGTCTCTTTAAGCTACAATGCATTTTATATGATTATATACAACATATATAGTTATGTGTGTGTGCTTTCACAGATAAGAAGAATTCGTTTTATCTCGTCTCACAAAAGTGAAATACTGAAGTTAGTACTGACCAGTATTTTTACTATAGATATGGTCTGAACAAAGTTTGATTAGTAAAATGCTATAAGTCACTGAAAGCAACTGTCTTATAACTAATTTTGACCACTGGGAAGATCAAGTAGATATAACCTAGTAATCTAATATTTTTATATTTTCTCAAATGTGTTTTTGACCACATGACCTTGCTGATGATTAAGTTGAATACTAATCAGATGCTCAAAATGAAACTAGCATGTTCAAACTATGGTAGATCATCTAGGCCAAAAGAATTTTCTAGGATTTTCCAAACTACCACGAAAATAGGTATTTCTGTTAAATAAGTTTTCCAGATAATGAAACAGTCATTTTGCTTATTGCAATGCATCCCAAATGGAAAGGAATGCACTTATAGAAAAAAGAAATGTACTTTTGCTACTTTTTCACTAAAAAGCTTTTGTGGGAGTCAGATGACCACAACAGAACACATGCCTTTCATAATATATGATTCAACCTGCCAATATTGGAAGCTATACTATCATAGAGCATGGTGGAATTGTATACTTCTCTTTTAAGAGGAAAAGAGTAACTCCTTACAAATTTTCCCCCCTTTACTTTTCCTTCAATTTTCCCAAAGGTGCCATCTTTTTCTCAAAAAAAAATTACATTATTTATCCAAAACAACCTTTATCCAAACAGCAATTAATGGGGAAAATAAGCACCTTAGAACTACTAAAATTTAATATCCAGTGGTTTAAGGTATTTGTAATTGGTCTGGAATTGTATACTTCTCTTTTAAGAGGAAAAGAGTAACTCTTTACAAATTTTCCCCCCTTTACTTTTCCTTCAATTTTCCCAAAGGTGCCATCTTTTTCTCAAAAAAAAATTACATTATTTATCCAAAACAACCTTTATCCAAACAGCAATTAATGGGGAAAATAAGCACCTTAGAACTACTAAAATTTAATATCCAGTGGTTTAAGGTATTTGTAATTGGTCTGGAGTGTAGCATATCAAGTGTGTCATTCCATACTTTAAATTGGAGACATATTCAATCCAATCAAGAACTCAACATTGGGATAATGCTTCATATTTCAAGTGAGGACATGTCTCCCCATTACTAAACATCATCAGTGCTCCTTTTTCAGCTTCTATCCTCACCTCCAATTAATACTCCCCCCTTCCAAATTATAAGAGCACTTTCCTGTGTATTATATTGTTCATACCATGAAAGTGCTCCTGTAATTTAGAACGGATGGAGTATTACTACAGCTTGCAATCAATCATTTAGAGTGGATGGAGTGATACTCTCGCTCACAATCAGGTATTTAGAAAAGATCGCGAAATACTCTCACTCACACTCACTATCAATTATTTTGAAAGGGTGGGTGATACTCTCGCGCACAATCAATTTATCCATAACCCCCTGCATCAAACTGCTGCATCTCTTCACAAATGGTTGCAAACACTACTTAAATCATGTGGGGAGAAGAATGAGATACATGACAAGGCCAAAATATCCCCAAAATAAGCTCAAACCTGGAAAAAGCACTACTAGCAGAAACACAATGGATATTACAAAAAGCCTATTAAATGTTAAAGGGAGCATAATAAAAGCAATTAGCAAGCCTCCAGAAATTAACATATAGCCTAATCATCCAATTTATAGGAAAGGATAAGTCCTGGCTGACTGACTAAAATCAGAATCATATATGGTGATAATAAGCATCCTATGATAACAGCTTTCAAAAAATGCAGTAAAACAAGTGAAAAAACAAGGAAACGATTTACGGACCTTCTATCACCAGGTCCAAAACCTCCGCGAGGACTTCCACGGCGACCATCGTAACCACCGTCATCCCTACGAGACCGCTTAAAAGGAGGAAATGGGGGTGACCTCCGGGGTGGAGGGGAGTGACCACCACCACGTCGGTCTCGATAGGGAGGCGGAGGAGAGTTAGGGCTAGCAGCACGACGCTTATAATCCCTGGGAGGTGGCCCAGGAGGAGAACGATTACGGTGTTCATAGTAATCGGAACGACGATTAGGTGGACGGTCAGTGTCCCGATCCCTTTCATCGTTTCTTCTCTCTCTGGAATCACGGTCATTGCGGCGTGGAGGCAGTGGCGGTGGTGGAGAAGAAGCAGCATCTGGGTTCTCGATTCCGGTGGACTTGTTATTGTCTTCGCCGTCGTCATTGCCTTCGCCGTCTTCATCTTTGCGCTCTCGGCTACTACGACGTTCCACTGCATCGACCGGCGTGTCCATCACTTCTGCCATCGATGTAGATGCGAAAATTCCAAACCCTAAAACTGGTAGTGTTTGTGTAAATAAATGGAGTATGCACTATGCAGCATGTACCGTACAAGATAAAATTTACATAACTTTATATATTTAAAAGACTGATTTTACAAGTTCGGTCCTTGTCTTGTATCTTTATTCGCATTATTTGTTTCATATTTGATTTTTTTTTTTTTTTTTCAAATATCTTTGATGGTTTTGCTTTGTTTCCCTAATGTTATTTGATTAGAGTATATTAGAGAAATGCTCCATGATGTTTACCTTAGTTTGCACATATAGTCCAAATTTTGGGAAAATGAAGACACATCCTTATGGTTTCAAAAGCAAACGGATTTGGTTCATGTTTCAGAACTTGTCACATAGGCTCTGTTAGAAAGCCCCTCGTGTGCCCTGCTGCAAGGGGGAAAATCAGTTTTTCCGCATATCCTTCTGCAAGCCAACTTATTGTCGTCAAATGTCTCAATAAATATACTTATAAATTTCATGTTACATCGCTAACCTACACATGCCCAGTTTGGGGGGGGGGGGGGGGGGGGGGAAGAGGGGCGGCCGCACAGGGCCCGAAAAAAATAGGGTCCAAAGTTTTAATTAAATTAATATATATATATATATATATATATATATATATATATATATACACACACACACACTTAGGTTATTTTGTTTTTATTAAATATTGTGTGCCATAATGCACAGATCTGAACCAACGGATAAAATTAATCAATGGGCATGATTTGAGAGTGTATGATATTACAATTGGGTAACATGTACTATATAATCACACAATTTTTAGCAAAGGGGTATTTTGGACAATTAATTACATTTATAAAAGGAAATTTTTGGAATTTTTTAGGATGATTAATTCTCCTAATTTAAAAATTTTTGAATTTTTTAATTAATTCAATTTCAATTTTTAACGATTTTATTCTATCAGAATATTTTTTGTTAGAATGGTACTCTTTCAGAATTTTATTCTAATAGAATATTATTGAAGAAAAACAAAATTCTTGAATAATATGTTGAAAAATAACAAATATTCTAATATATTCTTATACATCCGAACTTAAATACAAATTCATACATATTCTTACAGACTAAAAGTCTTATACATTTTAATATAGTTATAAATATTCTAAAAGAATATCAACAAACATGAATAACATTCTTAAAAAATAACAACATTCTGCTAGAATACTCTCGTTCTCCATGTTTTCTTCTTCAATTCTTGAATTATAAAAGAATATTGTTGTTTTTGGATGTTGAATCCTGAAATTCTGAAAGAATATTGTTGTTTTTTTTCATTCTTTGAGAATGAAGTGTCTTATATCTTTTTTTCATAAGTTTCCTCATCATTCCTGCATCATCCTAACATACAATAAATTCCAACAAAATATATGAATCATGAATATTTGAAATCCAAGATTTCATTCTAATAGAATTGGAATTCGAGATTCCATTATGGCAAAATTACCCTCATCATATTAGATACTAAGGCCTTCTACGATAATTTTTTCGATAATCAACTTAACCAAACAACACTTACAGTCATTAGGCACACGAATGTGAAGTCATTTTTCCTCCCTACACAATTATTCAACCACTGCACAAGAAATAATTTAGAATCTGTTCAACAGTTTATTATATTCTTATATACCTGCCTACGAAAGCTATGGAAGAATTTATTCAATCCACCTTGAAACCTGTTGCAAATCATACCGTTGTTGATATGTTGAATCCACGTTATTATTACTCCCGCCATTACCACCACTTCCATCACCGGAATGAGCCACCTCTCTTTCTCCTCCGCCATCTTCATGGTTCACTGCAACCGGTTCACCACGCTCCTCTTTTTGGTCTTCATCACCCATTATTCGAATCGAAACCTCCCCATTGTTATTCTCACCATTACTACTTCTATTACTAGCAGTACTGGAACCACTCGAGTTATGATCACGATGATGATGGTTAGAAATCAAGATCTCTGATTCGTGATAATCGGTATTCGACCTAGGTAGAAGAACACCCGAGTATTCAATTATAGTAGTTACAGGTGCTTGTAAGAAACAAATTATCGGAAACGGAGAAGACGACATCGCTCTCGGTGAAGAACTGTTACTGCTTATTCTCCGCATCGTCGGTGATGTGGGGTTTGATGAATTTGGACTACCAGTCGCATGATTATCAGAACTCGTAAGATCAACGCTAACACCTGTTGTTTCCATTAATTGGCGCATACAAACCCTTCTCTGATTGTACCTTTTAAACGCTCGATCCACCAATTCCCCAAAAAGAAAAATACTTACGATGATGTAGAAGAAAACAAAGAGAAAAACGTCAAATGGATTGGATGTGACAAGGGTTAGATAACGATCTTCACATGTAAATATGAGAATTTATGTTAATTTAACGAGTCAATAACCAGATAGATGGGGGAAATGGCTTCAAGAATCGCTCTAAACATAATTAGAGTATCGAATTCTAGGGTTTTTTTGTTGTGTTTGGAATTGATATGAAAGCTCCAACTCGATTCAGGAATGAAACGAAACGAAATGGTGCATTTGAAACGATACTGACTACGATTTAGGGCTAATGCTCTAAATTTATCTTTGATTCTTGAGTGAAATCAGGAATATTAATTATCTTCCATAATTAATTGTGCATATATTATTATAATACCCTTAATTGATTTATTTAATGATTTATTTTTTTCCTAAATTCATATTGGTGCATTCATGCAGACAATACTTGCTGAAAACATTTGAACCTAGCTCTCTCTCTCTCTCTCTCTCTCTCTCTCTCTATATATATATATATATATATATATATATATATATATATATATATATATATATATATGAATTTATTCAAGATATTGCATAAAGTTTAGGTAGCCTAATCGGCAAAGGGAACGCGGGTTCAAATCTGGTTTGTACCATTTTGACTTTTGAAATTAAAGTTACAGATTTAGCCATTTCATTATGCTTTATATTTCATAATCAACCCATCCTTCCGATATGTTTAACAAATCAGTTTTCATAAGTTACATAATTAGCCATTTAACTTCTTATAAAATTTCATATGTTCCTTTTTAATTAATTTATTTACTTTTAAGTTGATAATTAACTGTCTTAAGTTTATTTTCCTTATATATTAAAAAATTGTATCTAGGGCCCCATTTTTCTTCTTAGCACAGGACCCTTAAAATCAACCAGTCGGCCATGAACCTACATTTACCATCTCCTCCTAAGAAAACCCTTTTATGGTCTGCATTCTTAGTGTCGACCTCCACTCATACCAAATCAGTTGAGCTGAAATTAATTGGCTTGTAGAAAAGAAAACATCATGTTTAAACTTGCAACCTAGACCAACAACAAAACTTGATTCAAAATATAAGTACAATAAGTTGTACCTTGTTATTACATTTCATCGAAACTCATTTCATATAGGAAAGCTTTGATATGGTGTTGATTATGATGGCATATTGTGTGGAGATCCAGTATTGTGATGTTCTAGACTCAATCTTTTATTCCAAGTATTAAATCCATTTTTTTACAAAATAATATGAACCACTTTGGTTTTTTATCTCAGGTTTAAATAATTAACAACATAAACAAAATACGGCTTCCAATTTTATACTATACTCTAGCCAATATTTGTAATCATTAAACCAAGAAGGATTAAATCTACGAAGTCTACCTCCAATATCTCTTTGTTAGAAAGAATGATCTCGAGGTTGACATGGTCCTTTTTGCAAGTAGACTTATAATTTTATATCGTTGATTGACATGGTAAACTTCCATACTCGGTCTTTCTCATGGATCCGTGGGAAGTGTATTTAAGTCGACTCTCATATACTTCGAGGGATGTGTTTCTTCTTTATTGTTTCCACGCGTTTCTCCATTATCATTAGATAAAGAGTTTGGATTATCTTTTTTTTATAAAACATTAACATTGTAGTACCTAAAACATAAAATAATTATTGGAAACTCATAAAAATCAATCTATGTACTAATTAAAAAACTATAAATAAATAACACAAAATACAATATAAACTCTATGAATTAACAAAAAAACATATTTATTGTTTAATAATATATACGAACAACATAAAAAAGCAACGACTTACCTATATATTTATGGACAAATTTTACATATTTTAACTTTTAACTATGTAACCTACTCCCTATGTCATGTGTTGTCAAATTCAAAGAAGTTGTACATAATTATACTTTATAGACTTTATCATATCCACATTTAAATATTTAATTGTTTTTTAATTTTTATAGTATTAAAGTAAGAGAGAGAACCACAACATACATACCTCAAACCTCACGTCTCAATCTCTCTAATCTCTCTCACAAAAATTAAGAACACAAATGCACCGGAGAGTTTTTGAAGGAAGAAATTGGCCATCAGAAAAAATAGAAACGAACAAAGATCGCCAACAAATAGAAAGGGAGGCTACCACATCATCGACGTTGGAATGACGGTGACAAGTTATCACAACAATGATGATGGATTGGCGGTGGCACCGTGGCGGAGAAAGGGCCGAGAGGATGCGTCGAGAGTCTAAACCCAAAAATACTGAAAAGTTTGTTTAGGGTTATTTCCTTATTTTATTATTCACATTTTTTTTAATTTTTACATATTAGATGTGATTTTTTTATTATATATGTTACAAGTTTAGAAAATATTATTTTGTAACCATTCGATTATATTTTCTCTTTATACATCGGGTGGCATTATTTATGTAAAATTAATATTGTTACAATTTTCTTGTTTTTTTCATTGAACCACAGGTGTCCATTCTATTTGATAAAGAGTATTCATCTCAAAATATAATATACTACGTATTATTTTTTCAAAATTAGGGGTGTCCATGGACACCCATTATTAGAAGGTAGTTTCGTCATTGGTGGTTGCCTTATTGACTTATATTGCTAATGAATCCCCGAAACAATATTGTCTACTTGTTGCTTATAATGATCATTTAGTATAGGTCCCTTAAGATCATTATTTTAGGACCAGGGAGTGAGAATAACGTGAACGGGTAATTAGGTTAACTGTTTGGTTGTGAAATATATATTTAAAATATTTTAATTATATTATTGTGGTTTGAAAACCTTATTTGTTCACTAGGCTCCTAAGTCTGACGTACTCAGTTTATTTGTATCGCAAGTAGCGGTAAGAAGACTATGTAATAAGTTAGGTGTTGTTTGTTTTTTGTCTGCAAATCTGCGTGACCACTTCTGTTTACGCTGCGCAGACTACGCACATACATATGTCCTCATAGACCGTTTGTTTTTTGAAAGTGCGTAGACCTAAAAACGTTTGTGCGAGGTCTTCTTGGCGCAGACATGGACCAATGTCTTCTAATGTCTTCACAAGTCCAATAAACCTAAACCAAAAAAAAAAAAAAAAACATACACATTTTTTTTTCTTTCGGCACCTCCCAATCCATCATATTGAAAGTATAAGTGATTATAACTTTTTTATTTTATGTTTATTTAATTATTATTGTATATATCGGTTTATTGATTTTTTTCAATAATATTAAAAGAAAAAAATAGAACTTTAAAACCATGTTTCTACTTTTATGATGTGCCAGCATAATTTTTAAAAAAAAATGTGATATGCCTATTATTTAAGACCAAAAAAATGAGTTATATTAAAGTATTTATAAAAGCATTGCATTTTGATTCTAATATGAATTATATAAACCATTAATAATTTTTGTATTTATAAAAGCATTGCATTTCGATTCTAATATGAATTGTTATTGTAAAACCATTTTTTTTATTATATGACTAATTTAGTTGCATGAAATTTATTTTGAGTGTTGTATGACTATTATTATTAAAATTCTGGTGTTGAAAAATCATTTAAGTTTGTAAAATCATTTTATTTAAAATTTGATTTATTTCAGCAGCCTCCATACGTTAAAAAACAAACAGTCTTCTTATTGTAGACTGCAGACGTTTGGTCCACCTCTTCAGCTGCAGAGACTTGCAGATGCGGTCCGCATACTACAGACGTCTTAGCTTCAGAAAAACAAACAACACCTTATTGTATATGTAGAATGATAAAGGAGGTTGTTAGTATAATAAAAAGTTGTAAGACCCGTAATAACTAGTTATGCTTATATTTTTTGTATGAGTTATAACATATGTGAGTTTTAAATATTAATGAAAAATGTTTTTTCGAAAAAAAAAAGTTGATATTGAATTTATTTTACAATAAAAATGTTTTGGGACAATTCTGCACTACTATATTCTTCAAAAGAATACTATGTTTTAAGTAAATATAAAGAAAAGATTTTATTTGACTGCGAAAATTAAGAATGTCACACATGTGCATTTCATTTCATGGTGTTGGTTCACCCATGTCCACGTTCACCCCCTGTAATTGTCCTAAGTCGTTGCGCTGAGGAGTAATTATGATAAAGGTTAAATTGCAAGCTTGGGGGGGGGGGAGGTAAATGATACAAATTATTAAATGGCAACCAATTATTATAACATAAAGTAATAAGAATATTTGGTCAATTGGTTAAATTTGACACAAATTTGTAAATCTAGTGACTAAACTAGAAAAAACATAATATCAAAATCATTTTTTTTTTATAAATTTAATATGGTTTGTTTATGCAATGAAAATTAAATATCATCCTATTTTTCTTCATAATTATCTTCCTTTCAATTTGAAATGATGACAATTGTCTTAAAATATATTAATTTAATCAAAATATAACATTTTTCACCATTTCACATGAAAATAGGAATATAAATAAAGTGATACTACTTTATAACCTATGAGAACCACAATTACAAAATTAATTAAACTTTCGTAGTAAAAATTCAAAATTATTAATAAATTATTTTAAAGAAATTATTAGTTAAGGGATATTTTTTTCGTTGTATAAAATTATAACCGTTAATTTAAATAAATACACGACCTTATAATCGTTATTAATTTTATTTTAATTTTTATTCTAATGTTATTAATTTAAGGTAATTAGAGTGATAAATTTAAATTTTAAAATACAGAATCAATAGATTGATAAATGATGTGATATTAATAGTTAATAGATACCTAATAGAAGTGGCACATTGAAAAATATCATCATATCATACTATATTATAAAGGAAACATTTTTTCTTTCACCACATTCATTTGAAACTCTCATACATTTTTCCTTTCACCACATTCATTTGAAACTCCCATA